ATGTTGGCTTTGATCACCATGGCGTCAATATGGGGGTAGCTCTCTAACTGGAGGTCTTGCTCTGAGAACGTGATGGGTGTCTTTGACCAATCTATGTAGCGCATTGGACCCTACACTATTATGTTGTTAACGAGCCTGAGGTGATCTTTCTTCTGCTTCTTTGTCTGAAATTCCATTGAAGAGCCTCCGGCTATCGGCAGTATCATGCCAATGGTGGGTAGTGGTGTATGTGGATTGAGCTGATTTTTTGGGTTGGGCTCGTTTTTGGGGGCGGCTAGCTGTGGTGGAGGTGGTGGGGGAGGTAACGCTTCAAGTTGTCTATTGTATACTTGAGCTGGCGGGCTTGTCTCTATGATGTTATGTGCGGAGGCCTTGGGTTTATATAGATAAGGTTGGCCTCTATTTGCTGATTACTTGCCTGCCCTTGCTGCTTGGTGCTTGGCCACCATGCGGGTAGAAAGTTGGGGTAGTATGCAGCTACTAAGGTGGATAGGTGAATTTGATTAGAGTTAAGACTTGGGTAGATTGGGCAATATGGCTGCTGCGAAGGCACAGTGAAGGTGTGGTTTACCTCTTTGGTGGGTTGTTGTGGCGGAGGTTGAGGATTTGCCCTGCTTTTTATTCGCTCCTGAGTTATCTTCGCATCCGGGCAATCTCTGGTGATATGCCCTTTGTTTTCTCCATGGAAGAAACAATACGGCCTTCGCTGTCTTTGTTCTTGGTTTTTGTTCTAGTTCTTCCTTTGATTGTATTTCTTGCCTTCGTACTGCTTTTGTGGTGCTTTGTGTGGTATGCCCTTTGTTCTGGTGATATGCCCTTTGTTCTAGTTCTACCTCCGTCATCTACTGCCCTTGCTTGCTGTTGCCTTGCTGCTCTATGTTGAAAACTTGTTGATCTGACGATTGCTGGGGCTATGACTGGCCTTGGCTTCTGTTGCCCCTTTGTGCATTCCTATTGTTTCTTTGGTACTGTTTGTTCTGATTTTGCTCCTCTAACCTTCTGTGGAGGTCGTTGTCTGACCTGCAATACTTCACAAATTCTCTATACAGTTCTTCTATGGTGCTTGGCTTCTCTCGAGCTAGATGAGATGCGAAGGCTTCAATGCGGAGACCTTTGATTATGGCCTCGATTGCCACATCCTCCGAGATATTTGGTGCCTTCGCTCTAAGCTACACGAATATCTGAAAATAATCCCTCGATGCTTCACCTTGATTTTGTTTGCACTAAAGAGGTCCATCGATGTCAAAGATTTGACGGTAAATCCTTTGAAATTAGCGATGATCTTGTCACGGAGGTCCTCCCATGAATATACTGAACTTGGCCTTAACATTGAGTACCATACCAGTGCATCCCCTTCGGCTGCAATAACAAATGACTTAGTCAAGATCTTCATTCCCTAGAATCCCACGAGGCTACGAGGATAGCCTGGTTGAAACTCATGATGAACTCAACGGGATGCAGTCCTACACCTTCCATTGAATTTGAGTAGGGTAATGGGCTTATAAGATGGTGGCTAGGGTGAGGTTTGGATTCCCTCAGACAGTGGGGATCTTGAATCTATAGTTCTTTGAGCTGGCGGTGAGTTGAAAGGTGTGCCAAAGGTTGGTTGGGCGGCCATACCTAGCGAAGGGTTAGGCTGGCTTTGATTTGCTGAGTGGAGCTGGTTGGATGAGTTGGATTGGGGCTGGCTTTGCTGCATGCTTTGTATCTCCGCCTGTAGGACGACCAATTGTTGCCTGATCTTCGCTGCCTATAATGATGTTTGGGCTGTCCTCTGGTTTGCAGCGAAGGTTGCCCGCCAACCTTTCTTTTTCCTGCTGTGTGCTCTGCAACTGAGCTTGCAGTTGTTGAAGCACCTGTTCGGGGGTGGGGTCTAGGGCTAGCTTATCTTCGCCTGTCGGAGGCTGATCTTCGATCGCGGGCACTTCTACAACTTGGTCTTCTAGGGCACTAGCATAAGTGCTGCTCTTCAATATTTCCTACGCCTACATCGTCCCCTCATCAAGGGCTCCGCGGGAGTCCTAGCGGAGGTTGCTCTCTTTCTTGCCATCGTGGGTTTTGCTTGGCGCCAATGTTGGAAAATTGGGGGTTTCCAACAGATGGAATGCAATGGAACCTTTGCTCGGTCGAGTGCTCTGGGCGAAGGTAAGAAGAGTGGAAGGTGGGCCAAGGCTTAGTTAAGGTGTCATAAATGCTCTCACCAACCTCCTCATTATAGGATTTGGCTCCCCCTTTTATAGGGCATTGTTTGCTATCGCTCCATATTACAACTTTACCCTCTGACAACTATAGTACATTCCCAGAATATTCCTATGCTAATACAAGTTGCCCGGGGCAATTTGGGTATCTTCTTCTTCAACCGCCTCTGCTTGTTGGGCCATAATTGCGAGCCCGTCAACGGCCCGCGGCCTAGCACCTCCACCCCGTGGGTGCTCCTTTGGTCCCCAGAGCCTCCGCCTAGGGTGCCTTTCGCCAGGACCATCGCGTCGTCACCTAGACCGTGGCTTCTGATTATGTCGCAAGAGCCTTCGCCTTCGACCTCGTTCAGGTGCCTTCGCCGCCGTCTCTGGTCCTTCGCCCAGAGCGGCTGACCGGGCGGAGGCTTCCATCTTCTTTCCCTGCATGTTGCTCATAAAATTCATTAACCGTTAGTTCTTATTGCTATTGCGAACCATGGCCTCTGCGACTCACAACCATGTCCCAACAAAACGGGCGCCAAGCGAGGTAGCTGCCGCACAGAGGACACCGACCATACTTTCGTGCATCACAACAAAGCCGGAAGCCCGGAACCAGAAGTTGCGGGCTGACGAAGATGCTGACACTTGTCCATTGGTGTTCAAGACTGAAGAAGCCACATGTTTTGTGGTTGGATTTTATCATTTTTACCACTTCTTTGCTGTCTTATTTTGTAGCGCTTCATGTTGTGATGTGATCCCTGGCCCAACGTGTTACTAATTTGTACCAGAAAGTAGCATAGCAGATTGCATGGAGCATGGGAGATCTCTCTGCTCTTCAGAACACAGTACGCTGATTTTTTGAGCAGGATGTTTGGTTTCCTCAGCGGTCTGATCAATTTTGTGAGTGTGTGGAAAATCGCTGTGTTGCCCAAGAAGAGATTGTGCTTTGCCGAACACTTGCATTGGCTCTGTGGTTTCCAAGTGATGAATGGTGCTATTGAGACTGGGTCCAGAGTCATCATCGCAATTCTGAGTTGTTGGGGGATAGCACACGGCTTGGGGCCCCCAGACGTGTAAAGTCGCTTTCGGCCCATGTTCCGTCCGGTGGTACCTCCGTTCGGAGAAACCCTTGGCGGAAGGAAACATCGGTTTCCGCCCATCTTGCTTGACCTTGCACTGTACGCTTTTTCCCGTGTTCCGTCCGTGCGTACCTTCGCTACGGAAGCGACCCCCTTGGCGAAGGAAACGTCCATTTTCAATTCATCTTGGCTTCAGAGCTAGCGCCTTGTCACTTCGGCTTGTGTTTTCAACACCCAGACGGTACCTCAGATGGCTCGTGAAACCCTAGAAGAAGGGTGCTCGGTTTTCGCCCATCTTGCGCAGGTTTGGCGCCTTGTCACTTTCGGCTGAAAGCAATGCTTAGCGCCCGATGATGGCTACCTCTGTTTTACCAAACCCTTGGCGGAAGGAAACGTCGGTTTCTGCCCATCTTACGCAGAGGCGCCTTGTCACTTTCGGCCTGTGTTTCGCCCTACGTTACCTCCGTTCGGCGAAACCCTTGGCGGAAGGAAACATTGATTTCTGCCCATCTTGCGCAGAGATGCCCTGTCGCTTTCGGCCCGTGTTTCGCCCGTCGGTATCTCCATTCGACGAAACCTTTAGCGGAAGGAAACGATGGTTCCTACCTACTGGCAGATTGGCGATCAGGGGAATCTTTTCGGCGGGACAGTAACTGACCGATATGTAGCATGTGCTTACTTGCAGGTCTCTTCGCCGCTGCCGGTTGGTCATCTCGCCCGGAGGGCCCAGCGGAGGCCCAGGCGGAGGGGACCCCCTTGAGGGAGGCGTTGCCCGAGGAAGGCCGCAGGAGGGATGGACTAAAGGCACCTGTAGGAAAGGGGAATATGCCCTGGGATCGGAGTAGTTAGGAGGGCATTTTGGTCTTTGTAAAGGATACGGATGAATATAAATAGAGCTCCATGTGAGCAGTGTAACGAGGGAGGATGGAACCTTAGTTCCTCAATCAATACACATACGTCTTTCGCCTCGCTATTGTTCCTCTCTTTCAGTTGTGTTTTGCTTTCGGCAATTTGAGTAGCAACCTGGTGTTCGAAGGCCTAGGCTTATAACATGAGTCATTTTCAGAATCAAGATTAGACGGTTAGTTCTTTGTGGGTGCATTTCCTCACCTTTCGCCAAGGATATGTCTGGGGCACGTGCGGAGCGAAGGAACGCAAATAAGCACGGTGCGCCTTATGTATCAGGTTCGATCATCGCTCATTTCCTTCCCGGGAATAGCTGTTTGTGCCCTTCCAATTTTGTTGAACGGTGAAGTTTGGACACTTCCCCTCATCTTAAGAGGCTTGTTTGGACACGGTTATTCAAACTAAGCTATCATGGGTTGAACAATATAATGGAGCCAAATGGTGGACGGAAGCAGCGAAAACAAAACTAACTACAGTACAAAACACGAGCTGGCAGCCTTCTTATTCTTAAGCAACATATATATTAGGAGTAGTTCTCAAGGCCTTTTGGAACAAATAAAGAAACCCCAGGTGGACGGCGAAGACAACGAGTGCCAGAAAAGTACGTAATGTAACGTGCTGCTGTAGCTCTACGCGTTCAACTTGTCGCTGCCAATCTCAAGTCTCATCGATCAACTTATCTTCCGGGTTCAATTCGCAATTTTGCATCTACCAAAGCCTTCTCTAGTTCTCTCTATTATAAAACGTCTCCCGGAGCTGCGCACAATGCAGACGCACACAGTTCTGAAACCTGTTCCACCTCTTGTGTTTTGCTCTCTTGCTACCCCGTTCTCTGGTCATGGCAGCGGTGCTGGACGCGTTCGCGTCCAAGCTGGCGGGCGTCCTTGTCGGCATGGCCAAGGAGAAGGTGGAGATGCTCCTCGGCGTGCCGGGAGAGATCACCAAGCTCGAGACGACGCTCGGTGACCTGAGCAGCATCCTGGCTGATGCTGAGAGGAGGCGCATCCGCAGCTCTGCTGCAGAGCGATGGGTGAAGGAGCCCAAGGATGTCATGTACGACGCCGATGACATTCTTGATCTCTGCCAGGTCATGCAGGGTAGTGGAGAAGATCCCTCGTCATCAATTGCTGCTCCAAAAACCTCTTCAGGGTGCTGGAACATTCCAAAGATGCTCTTTTGCTTCCGCAGCCCTGTTGTTGCGCATGAAATCGGAAAGAAGATCCAAGCTCTCAACCAACGACTGGAGGATCTTGAGAAGAGGAGCTCCCGCTTCGGATTCATCACGCAAGCAATCAACTCCTCAGGGTATTCCATCGATAAAGCTCCGAATTCTTTGTTTGACAAGACTGGATCGCTTATTCTCCCTTCGGATGTTGTTGGTGACAAGATTGTGTAAGATACAAAGAAAATCGTTGATCTACTAATCAAGAAAGTGGATGCTCCTGCTGAATCCAAGGGCAACAACGTGGTTGTTGCTGTTGCTATAACTGGCATGGGTGGGATAGGCAAAACCACCCTTGCTAGGATGGTCTTCAATGATAGAATGGTAGAGGAAAACTTTGAGGATAGAATCTGGTTGAGCGATAACCATGAGCTCAACGGGACCAGTGCCCTACAAAGTGTTCTTGCTTATTTTGACACCAATATGAAGGCTTTGGAGAAAATAAGGACCTGCTTCAGCGTGCTTTGAAGGACATTGTCCAGCAAAAGAAGAAGTTTTTGTTGGTGATGGATAATGTGTGGGGTGAAAAGGTGTGGAACGACTTTCTTAGAGTGTCACTTTGCTATTCTACTCATGGCAGTCGCGTCTTGGTGACGACAAGAAATGTTGGAGTTGCTCGTGGGATGAATGCCCAACATCTCCATCGAGTTGACAAGCTGCAAACAGAAGATGCTTGGGTTTTACTAAAAAAACAGGTTAGTAACTTTTATTTATCACATTTTTTATTTGTGCATAAATAATAGTGTGACAAAGAAAACAAATACTTGTGACATACTCCATTAAATACTTGCTGCTCCAAAATCCTAGTTATGTTTGTGATCCGAGGAAGTATAATTTAAGAATGTCATGTATAGTACAAATATTATATTTCATCTTGTACAAATATTTGCGTTTTATTTTCTATATATTTATTGTGAGAAACTCTTTGAGTAGCCGACTTAAAAACTAGTCATCAACAAATTGTGAAGGAACATATGACCCTCCTCTTCAATATTTCCTTCTTCTCTTCGTCCTTTACGTTTTCGCCATTTTGGAGCACACGGATGAGAGCCCATTTTTTCTTTTGTTTCCTCTCCTATCCTCCATCAATGTAAAAGTTTATGGACTGCCACTAGCACCACAAAGGCTACATCCTTAGTATTGGGCCCAATAGCACGGATGTCTCTCCTATCCTCCATCAAGCTACTGGCCATAGTTACGACTAACACCCAGTTAGCCATCTAGTCCATTCCAAATTTAGGCCCCTTTGGAATGCAGGATTTTTTCCGCTTCTGCATTTTTCTTGTGAAAAATGAACTGAATCATGTGAAATTTCTATAAAATTCGAAATCCCTACGTTCCAAAGTGGCCCTAATAAATCCTACGCAAGTACGCATCGCACGCTCCTGCCCATCTCTTTCATTCCTTTGCATCAAGCTGACGATGAAGTGGATTCTCAAATCCAAACACCCTATAATTGGCAAAGGCCACTAGAAAAAGCAAATTACTAACAGCAACGCACCCGCTATCTGGGTTTGCAATTAACTTTACCATAACGTATCTCATGGGCATATTTCGATAGATCATCCACTTGAAGAGAAAAGTTTTATTTGGTTGCTCTTGTGTACCCATTTTATCCTTTTTTTCTCACCACAACTGCGCATTTGGAGAACATGAGTTCTGGCACCTACTTTCTCTCTCACACATGTGCTGTATTTTTTCTCCTGATAGGTAGTGCTAAATGATGAAGCCGATGTCGTTGGATTAAAGGGTATTGGAATAAAAATTGTGGAAAACTGTGACTGCTTACCGTTAGCAGTTAAGGTCCTTGGAGGAGTCTTGCGCCGCAAAAGTAGAATAAAAGACACTTGGATGGATATTTGTAACAACCACACCTGGTCAGCAGAAGGACTGGACGGAGATATTAATAGAGCGGTCTATTTGAGTTATGAAGACTTGCCTTCAGACCTGAAGCAATGCTTTGTGTATTGTTCACTTTTCCCGAAAGATGAATTGATAAGAAGTGGAGATATAGTCCAGCTTTGGATTGCACAAGGTTACATACATGACACAATGAGCTCAAAGGCACTAGAAGACGTTGGGAAAGAATATTACGAAGAATTACTTTCAAGAAATCTTCTAGAACTAGACGAAACATTCTATAGTCAATCAGCATGCATCATGCATGTCGTCGTTCGTTACTGTGCTCAACATATAATAAAAGACGAAGGAGTACTTATTAGTGAGGGGCAGGATGCTAATAGGACTCTTATGAGCACTCCAAAGCTTCATCACCTCTCTATCTCAAACAAGGCATCAGTAAGGACAGAGACTTTGCAAAAACAAGCTTATTGAACCACCTTTCTTGCCTAAGAGTACTATATCTAGTTGAGTTGCCAGACTCCATATGCCACCTCAAACATTTAAGGCACTTGCATCTTTCTGGCGCAAAGCGCATGTCCACAATCCCACGAGACATAGGAGATCTAAAATTTCCCCAAGCACTTGACCTTGCAAACTGTACAAATGTTTCTCAGCTTCCTAATAGCGTTATGAAGCTACGGAAGCTAAGGTTACTCAACTTAAGGGGCACGGCCATCACTTCAATTCCTCGTGGCTTCGGAAAGCTAGAAGAATTGGTCAACATGTTGGGGTTTCCAACACATTCAGATGATAACGCAGATGGCTGGTGCAGCTTAGAAGAACTAGGTGCTCTATCCAAGCTCAAAATGCTTGAAATAGGAGGTTTGGAAAAGGCACCTTCTGGTTCTATGGCTGAAAGCAATGCTTAGCAATAAACATCACTTGATAGGCTTAGATTTGATATTTACCAGCAGGCTCGGAGAAATTGTAGAGGTCAAAGACGACATCAACAAGGAGGAGCACGAGAGAATAGGGGTGGTGTTGGCTAATCTCTGCCCTCCAACTTGCATAGAAAACCTGGAGATCAAAGGCTACTTTGCACGTGGGCTACCGCAATGGATGAGAACAATGTCAGCCTCTGAGAGCAGGGTTTACAATTTCGGCGAAATATCGCCGAAATTTTCGAAATATCGCCTTTTTTGCTGAGGTTCGAATTTTTTTTTATCGGTCAAAATTTTTCGGTTAAATTCATCTTTCACTCTAAAATTACACCAAACCACACTAAAATGACCCTCCATGTCATCTAGTCTTCTCAAAGCCCTAAATTTCTTCAAATTTATTTAATTTTCTCACTCACACATTGGACGGCACTAGGCCACTAGTATATGCAGCTCGCCAAAAAAAAAAAACACACAATATTATATGGCTCTACTTCTGTGATATATTATGTTATTTTGTCGATGTTATATAAATTTATGATTGATGATGGATTATAGAGTTTTTCTAGTGAAATGATGCCAAATTTGTTTAAAACTCAATTTAAATTTATTTAAATTTGAACCGATATTTCCGAAATTTCGTATTTATCGCTGGGACTGATTTTTTTTTCTTACCGGTATTGTAAACCCTGTTTGAGAGTTTAACGCGGTTGGTGCTAGAGGACTACACATGCTGCACGCAACTACCTAATGGATTGGGGCAGCTCCCCTTTCTTGATTACTTTTGGATATATCGTGCTCCGTCCGTCCAGTGTCTTGGGCATGAACTCCTCCTCCCCTCGTTGGGTGATGGCAAGGACGGGACGTCAGGGCTGACAGGAGCACGAAACATAACGAAGCAACCTCATCGGGGTTCTGTTGTTGCTTTTCCTAAGCTGGCAAAGTTGGGTTTTGTTGGCATGTTGGGATGGATAGAGTGGGAGTGGGAGCAGCATGTAGCAGCGATGCCTGCTCTAAAGGAGCTTACGATTTGCAACTGTAAACTGCAGCAACTTCCCCCCTGGACTTTCTTACCATGCATGCAGTTTGAGAGAGTTGAACCTGGATAATATACTACACTTGGTCTCTATAGAGAACTTCCCCTCGCTAGTCAAGCTTTGTTTACATGAAAATCCAAGAATAGAGAGGATCGGCTACAACCCAAGCTTACAATGGATTCACATTAGCAAATGCCCCGCACTAAAGGAATTGGACGGTTTGCCATCTCTCCAAAGCCTCGAGTGGTGGGATTTGGGTGCTAAAACACTCCCACAATACTTACGAGAGACAAAGCTAAATAAGTTGCGTGTGGACTGCAGCCCAAGATTGATCTAACTGATAGCATTACAAGATGACTCCTCCGAGTCCGAGTGGGGAAAGATCAAGCACGTCCAGCAGCTAAAGGCATATGGGAGGACGTCAATTGAAGATGAGGTCGACAGGACGTCAATTGAAGATGAGGTCGACAGTCACATATACTACACCAAGGAGCCGTATTCCTTTGTCAGTAACATAGAATGGGTTTATGTGTCCACAGGTGTGGTTTCGATCATCCTCTACTTCTCTGACGTTTTATAATTTTAATTTTGTCAGTAACATAAAATAGCTTTAAATCAGACCTCGTGTATCAGACGAAAATGCTCGCATACACGAGCGCACATTCACCCCTATGACCACAAGCCCGCACACTTCATTTCGCTATATCATTTGCTCACAAGGTGGAGATGAAGATGAAGAGAGTGAGGTGAGGGAAGAAGAATAGAGGCGAGGAATAATGCAGAAACAATGCAAAGGGTAAAGGAAGTTTGACACTGCTAGGGGAAGAGGCGCAGAACTCTGGTTGGTGAGCGATATGGTATTGTAACATTACAAGCACTTGTCTTTGTTAATGCAAAGCATTGAAAACCGTTTTTTTTTTCTGTTGTGTTTGGTGCCTGAAATCCGAGAAGGGGAAGTAGGTACGCATTGAGTGGTGGTGGTGCCATACGTTCGTCCAAATTTGTAAATTAGTCTTGTTTTTGTCAACATTGTTTAACAAGATCCTCCTCACTTGTCATTTTGTCAACATTGCTTAACAAATACTCCCTCCGTATCGGTAAAGGAGGTCGTTTTTAGAGTGTGGTGCTGTTTGCACAAATGAAGACGTTTTAGATCTCTTAACCTTGTTTTGGACGTGAATGCCCCCGCGCCGTCTGTTCGGTTCCGTGCGCCGCTTCACGAGGAGCAGTAAAGTCGCACCGCTTCACGATGTTGCCGTCCCCTCCCCTCCCTTCGTAAAGCCGGTGGAGTACTAGCTGTTCGCTCGCTTGCACAGGGTCTGGGAGTGGATGCACGTGCTCGACGGCCGCTTTCGGCTCCGCGGCGCTGGTGTCACCGGCGCTCTTCGGCAGCCATGCATGGAGGTGGCACCGGACTCCGTCGCGTCGGAGGAGATGGCGCCGCAAGACCTCGAGCAGGACTCCGTCATGTCGGACGCGATGGCGCCGTAGGACCTCGAGCATGACACCGCAGGTACTCAATCTCTCCACGACGCCGCAGTTTGTCGAGCTTTACTCCAGCGCGCAGCAGGACTTGTGCCAGACTCCTTGCCGCCGGAGTCCTCACTATACGTGTGCCTGGGCACGTTTGGAAGAAGCTGGACGAGCTCTGGAAGATTAAGCAAGATGCAAAGAAATAACAGTAGATAATCGGAGCTCAGAGGGAAAAAATCAAGCCACGCGCAGTGCCATGCAGGCTGCAGCGATCTGCTCCAGCGAGCGGCAAGGGAAAAAAATCGCGCGGCACAGCCCAAACGCGAGCTCCCAAACACACGGCGCCATGCAAAATTACCACGCCTGAGAGGAATCGAACAGCGCACCTCCTGCCTCGGGCGCCATGGAAGATGCGGTTACATGTCTCATTCATTCAAGGCGCATGCATCTCCTAACTTGCTTCTTCTAATTTGCTCCTAGCTAACTTGCATCTTCTAATTGTTTGATGCAGGAAGACTAGCAATTGCTTCAGCTAGCGAGGACACTTCACAGGAGATTTACAATGGCAGCCGATCTTCTTTCTCTAATTTTTCTTTTTACATGTGAGGAATCTTAATCTTGTTGCATCATTTAACCTTCATGGCTTCCTTCAAAACACTCTGAAGTGTTACAAAAATTTTGTTTGCTTTGTGTGGACAATGTTCTATGAATGCCTACGAAACATGTGTTGAAGAAATCAATCAATGAGTGGACAATATTAATATGAAGGCCTACAAAACATGTGTGAACAATTGATCCATTTACCTGTTGCACTGCTGGAACTAGATCTTGTATTGTTTTTGCATTCTTCTTGTATTGAATAGCTTTAATAGCTCGAAAAAACTCCAAGTCCAAAATGTTAAAATCTAGAGAATTGGGTGGTTGACAAATTAGGTGAATGTCAAACCCTTCTTGCTTAGCAGCCTCACAAAAAAACAGGATCATTATCACGTAAATGGGAAGGTGCATTATCTTGATGTATGAAAATTGGTTTGTTCACATCTTCTCTTGGCCATTTGGCTCGAATGGCAGGCAACACTCTGTTTATCATGAAATCTCTAATCACATCTCCTGTGATTGAAGTTATTGGCTTGATTACTTGTTCTCCACGAAGACGATTCTGACTTCTTCTTATAGCAGTTTCATAAGTGACAAGTGGAAAACAACCATTTTTTCCATAAAAAAAATACACTCTCCATTCCTAAACCTTGGCCAAGCATAAACACACAAAAACATGAGCCTAGGGATGTAATTCTTGTTCTTACAAGTGCGATGTGGTTCATCTTCCTCGGGTAGCAAGTAATATTTCTCAGATTTTTTAGAGAGGTAAAACCATTTTTCATTGATGAACACAAAGTCAAAAAATGCCTTAAATCTTACATCACCAAGCAAACCCAGCTCAATCATATCAACACACCACTTTAACCGAGATCTCTTGTTAGCATCTGTGAGGTATGGTTTGATGCTACTAGAGTGGCGCCTAAGAAAATCTTTTTTCAAATATCTTTGTATCCGCGATGTTAAGTTTGCTACACACATCTTCTATGGTCATTCTTTGCTTGAGAGGAATGTTGCGTAATTATTCCAAATCAACAGGGACTGCCTTACGACCACATGTACCCTTCTCTCGACTAGCAACCACAACTGGAATGTTATGAGCAAGTTGGATTTTACCACGCTTCCATAAGCGCTGAACTGACCGAATGTGTACTCCAAATTGATCAGCAACAAATCTTGTATCTTTCTTGCCTAGTTTCCCATTCTTGCTTCTAGCCAACAATGCTTGATACACTTGTCTTGTGACTTCTTCTGTCATGTCTTTTCTTCGATGGTTTACTTCAACGGGAGCAACAACAGCATGTTCTAGTAAAAGAAAAAAACAAGCACATTCAAAATAACATCATTTTTTACCTAAAAAATCTAATTGTATCAAAAAATTACCAGCGAGGTTTTGTACAAAATCGAAATCAACTGCACCATATTTGTCTAGTGGCAAGTTCAAATCCAATCCTTTCAAAATAGGAAACAATGATATGAGAAACAAAACAGATTTGCTCATATGCTGTGAATATCAAATCAAATCATATGGAAAAGAAAGTAACAACAGACACATTACCATTGTCATTGTGATCCTCCAATATTAGCTCGTTGAGATTGAAGGCAAGATTGCCGATGTCATCTTCTTCTATAGGAACGTTGAGATCAAAGCCAGGGAAAAAAATCAGCCATTGCACCGTAGATGGAAAGAGAAGAGGTGGGAAGAGAAAAGGTGGAGCACGGTAGATGGAAAGACAACGCTTAAATAGGCATATTGTAACCCAAACAACGGAGACAAAAACGCGCCAGAAATAATCGCAGCAGGGAAAAAATCGTGCCATGCAGGCCCGCGCGCGCCAGGGCAAAAAAAAGTGCGCCAGCCAAGTATCGAACTCAGCTCCTCAAGACTCACGCCTCGCTACACTAACCGATTGAGCTGAGGAATTTTCTCGCATGGAATGCATCCGCAACCATATTTAATATGGGCAGACAGGGAAAACTGACCATAATTAATCACTCTTGGTATACTAAATGCTGTTCTAAACGACTTTCTTTATGTGTACGAAGGGAGTATTTACCTCGGTATAGGAGCGCCCGCACGGCCTTCTTAGGCCAGTCTCAATGCAAGGTTTCATGTCCCTGTTTCCAAGACATTAAACTATGTATGAAACAGACTCCCTCAATATGCAGTTTCATTTCACTGTTTCTTAGGCTAGCTTTAGCATTTAATTCTTGCAACGAGTTGTGATCAAATGTGCCATATAACTATATAGCCATTTGATTTGATGTTGTTTAACTAGCTTTACCATTTGATTTGATCCTGGTCGATAGCCCCTAAAATTGGGGAAAAAACTAACATGGACCATGAAAGAAGATATAAACCTCGTAGGTTTGCATTAAGCTTCTATCAAACTAACATGTACACCAAATAAAATAGGATACAGACTAAATTGAAATGAACAGGAAAGAATATATGACTGAAAGTGTCTATTGTCTATCGTTGAAACTGACTGATATCTAAAAAATTAGAATATAACGAAGATTAATAATTTGAGAGATCTGAATGACAAGATCTAGCATATGCAGGCATGAATCACACAAGCATATGCAGACATGAATCCATCTGTAGACATGAATCACATTCAGTTTCCACATCTCAACACACTTTGTAACAGGAAAAGTGCATATCTGTTGCATCAGGTAACTATCTACTTGCAGTTCAAGCTATCTACCACTGCTACATCAGGTAACTATCTACTTGTTCAAGTACAGATCGAAATTTAGAGATGATACAAATCACTTGTATTCAGTTCAAGCACTTGCAGGCATCAAAATCAAATACTTCCAGGAGAGGAAATCAACTGCGTGCACAGATCGAAAACAACTACTTGCATAGAACGAAATCAACTACTTGAGATGGAAAATTTGGGGGTATGGTTCCCCATTCTGCTCCTTGGTTGTGGCGGCATAGTCGACGTCGGCGCAGCAGAGGACAAAATCAGCACAGCAGGGGTGGGAACAGCAGGAGAGGAAGATGGCACAGCCTGCCGCTGAACCGGTGGCGGCGCTGGGAGGGACGGCGGCGGCGGCGGCGCCGACGGCGCAGGCGAGGACGCCGTCTTCAGTCTGAGGCGGCTGCCCCCGCGCCCTTTCCTCTCCAGGGTGGGCGCTGCTTGGAATCCTTAGACGACGGTGGATCCATGGCGCCGGACCTTTGCCATTGCTGCACGGGAGCAGGAAGAAAAGAACGGTGCGAGCAGGAAGGAATGGCGGGAGGATTGGGGCAGGGCGCGGGAGAGATGGCGAAGGTGGCGGGATGGATTGGGGCGGGGGACGCGGGAAGGATGGCCAGGCGGCGCGCGCACGGGATCGAAGACGATGAAACGTTCCGCCTCAACGCTCGTTTCATGCGCTTTCCAACGACTTGGAAACAGCGCTGGCTCGTTTCGTGGCCACGAAACGAATGCCTTCTCTCTCCTCCCCATTTCATGCAAAGATTTCATTTTTGCTGATGTGTCACCTTATTTAATGCGCATGAAAACCCCATGAAATGTCCATTGAGATTGGCCTTAGGAGTGGGCAATTCGATGCTACTTGCGTCGGGCAGCGGACCCGGCAGGCAGCAGCGGAGCGCGGGCACCCACGGGCGCTGCTCCGGGAATCCGGGATGCCGCTGGACGCTGGTCGCGCGCGGGCAGGCGGGCCGCGGGCGATTGGAGGCTTGGAGCCTTGGAGGCCGAAGGCGCCCAGATTGAAACGGGCGCCGAGCGAGACGGCGGCCGTACAGAGGACACCGGCCTGACTTCCGCGCAGGCGCAGCAGAGCGGAGCCGGAAGTTGCCGGCCCTTTGATGGCCCTTGCTGGTTTAGCGCATCTGAGTATCTCACGGAGATGCTGACACTTCTCCAAATTCCAATGGTGTTCACAACTCTAAAGCCCTTGCCCATGAAGAGCACGTTTCATGGTTGGTTGTGATCCCTGACCTACTATGTTACCTTGTATTGTACCAGAAACGAGCATAACAGAACGGCATTGCACCCAGCACAGGAGATTCCCCCACTCCCCAGAAGGCAATACACAGCATGACATAGAGCTGAACTGGCAATATCAGTTCTCATTATGTGCTATATACTATGTTGATCTGTAAATGGTGCAGCTATGGTATGGCAAGTACAAGCAGGCGACTACCACCTGCTAGAACTAGGTGTTCCTCTGCAGGAAACATATGCCTGTATTTAAGCCAGAGTCATCAGACATTCAGACTGTGTATGACTGCTGGATGGTATCGATGTCCAGGCCCTTGAGCTTCACAACCGACTCCACATGCCCCTTCAGCGTGTGAAGCTCCCTCAGCCTGCAAAGGAACATCATCGAGTCAATGGTTAGCTTACATCAACATTATACATCTGATTTATGTTGACGCTATGTGAGAAGTTCCAAAG